ATAATGGAATTTCTAAAAGTTCAGTGTTTTTTTTAAATGTAACGCTATAAGTTTTAAAATTTCACCTACTTCATAGTTTTATGAAATCCAGTATGTCACACTGGAATAAAGATGTAGTTATTAGCTGTGTCAGAAGAGGCATCAATCACTCCACTGCACTGAATTGTGTCATTATTTATAGACACATTAGATAGCTCACATAAAGAAAACATGTGTCCAAGGGGTGAGTCTGTGGTAAAGGATCACTCAGTTTAGCAGTTTTCTCCCTTTACCAATGCTTAAATGTTCATAGTCTTAGTAAACTGATGACCTATCATAGAGAGATAGCAACTCCTCATGATAGATGCTCTGACACTCACCCCACCTCATTTTTTAAAGTGAATGATTAAATCCAACCTTCCTAGGCTGACCATCTGCTTTTCCATTTTAATCTTAAGAAAAAGCCAGGGAGAATGTTCTAAGTCTGTTTTACAAATCACCAACTCTGGGAACAAGCCAATAGTAAACACTGGTTCCTCATTCCTCCTTATTTTGCTTTCAGACCACTGGCAACAGTGTCAGAAGAAACACCTATTCAAGCAGAAAATCCTACTCAGGAGCCTCATGCAGGATAGAGCCAGGAAGCATACCAAGTTATTGATCAGTTAGGGACTGGCACACTTCTGATCACAGTCAAACTTGAAACCAGCTAACTTTCATACATGATAAATTGTACACAATATTTTTCTATATTTAATGACTGCCAAAGTCTATAAAACTTTGTGCACAATGATCCATTTTCTAAAGTACACTCAAAATATTAAGCTTTAGAGGCAAAACAAAAATCTATCACAAAGTTGGAGTTTGTTGATAGTAAGAGAGAGGTAGGTAAATAATCACTGTCCTACGATAAGCAAAGACACAAGTAATTAAAGTTGAAATCTCATTGATAAAAGTAGAAACTTCCAGCCCTGAGTTTCTAATACCACGTGAAACATGAAATAGAGCATTACAAGAGGGCAGTGCCACTGACCATTTCCATCCATGATGAGGCATGTCACTGTCTCTTAGACAATTCTAGTGGCAAATGGCTAGAGAATGAGAATGAACAGACCTTGGACAGAGGATGTCGGAGCAAAAAGCACTGGCTAACTAGGAGAGAAATTGGTGTCCTCCATCCCTTACCCGAGGGGATGTGGGCAATGTTTGGAGATATCTGTTATCACAACTGGTGAGGAGGAGCTAGTGGCATCTAAGGAGCAGAGGACAGCCTACTACGCATGGGCCCCCACAAGGCATTATGCAGTCCAAATGGACACAACGTTGACAATGAGGACCTCCAGCTCAACAGAACAAACTCCAAAAAGCAGAGAGCACAACTGCTTTCAAGGTCTGCCTAGAGGTTACAGCCATAAGCTTAGAATTAGGGAATGTAGAAAAACAAGAATTCTGATATACCAAGATCAAATTTGCTAAGAAAAATTAAAATGCCAAATTGAGTTCAGAATGCTACCATTATTTTTAAGAACAGAAGAAGTATAAGTGAACACAGAAAACTCTATTCCAAGTCGGTCAACTCTCTACTCTCAATGGCATAAACTAAATGTATTTTATATCAACTACATTTTCAGCAGTAAAAGATAACTTAAGGAATATCCTCAACTCATTCATATACACAGCCTTCTACTTTCCAACTGAATGGATTCTGGCTAAAGTTCCAGGAGCAGGGATGCACAGAGGTCATCCCAGTATTGGTGGACTGGAACTCAGAATGATTTTTGTATAAAATGGACACAGAAAAGCATATTACATTTCTTTGAGAATTACCAGATATTAGGAAACAAGGAGAAAATTTCAAATTACAGAGTTCAGAAAACACATATTCTATAAGTCAGTTCACAAATAAATTCAATGAGAAGCCATCCATTTCCTGTCAAATTCACTTCCAGACTAACATTTAGAAAGTGCAGTCATACACAGCAATGTGCAAACTACAAGTGAAAATAGCGTTCCCTCCTAGCTTACGGGCCTTCCAAATCACCAAGGAGAACGGAGGCTCCATACTGTGGCTCACAATAGAAATGCCAGCTTTGAATGTATAAGCCAGTCAGGGTAAAGGTTTCTTCTTGTTAAACAGAAAGGAAAAACTAAAAAGAAGCTTATAAGGTATTAGAGTAAGCATTCTTGTTTGGATTTTGAGTTGATTGTCAAAGCAGTGGTCCCTTTCGATTGGAATGACTCTTAGAGAAATCAAGTAATTCTTACCCAGATGATAACTGTAAATTTCTCAAACCTAGGACTACTTATGCAATCATTTAAAAAATGATTCTCCCCTTTTTCACCATGATTACATGCAAGTAGAATCTCACGGAAATGGGGGAAACAAGAACCAGTAGTCTGGTTGAGAGATTTTAGGCACAATTTGGCAGGGGCTCCTGACTTGTTTTCTGCAATATATCAGTGATTCTACAGACTTCATCAGGTATTGACAACATCTTGCATTTTCCAGAATTCTTTCCTTACATGATACATTCTAATCTCTGTACCTAACTATTGCTTTGCAATTCTGAGGTTAAGACACTGACAATGCTCCACAGAGGAGAAATCCCCACTGTCTGCCATTTGCCTGGATCCCATCCTGAAACATCTCCTCTCTTCCCTCTACACCACTTACATGATACACTTTAACTTAGATCTTCCAAAAAATATATTTCAAAATACTATCCCATTTATTTAGAGGTACCAAATTCACTCAGATATATTGAGTCTGTACCTTTATTGCCATAAAGCAAAGGTTATCAGGCTAAATCATTAAAGAATATTTTTACAAATCTCAACGGTAGATATTTAGCCTAGAGTTAATGACTACTGCTTTAAATATACAAGGAATTATAAACCAAAAAAGATGTGCATAAGCCAGGTCCAAAAGAATAACCTGATACTATGAAAGGCATGATCATGCCAATTGGGCTAGCCACTGATGGGGATCACAGTGTGACTGACTGTACATGATGACCTCAGTGGCCATTCAGGTACCAGAGTTGACAGTGTGCACATTTTTTGGAAAAACCACTAAATACAACATGAGCTAGAAAACCTCCAAGATTCTTCCTTTTTCCACTACTGTATCTAATTAGACTTGGGGCTCTTGGCTCTACGGCCACAGGTGTGCTCTAAGAGGAATGCTTCCCGCCACCACGCGGCCTTCAAATCAAAGGTGTGATACATTTGTGCTTCCGAGTTGTAAGGAGATAGACCTTCGACAGATTTGAAAGTATATCCTTTAAAATGCTTGGTCTAAACAAATACTAAGCAACAGAGAACATCTGACCTTATGCTAGTAAAAATGACTGGTCTATAAGTGTCAGTAGGCAGGGTCACATAGTGTATAATTGGGACTAAAGAAAAAAATGGGAAATTAGTACTTTCCAAAAGTGAGACTGGACTAGAGTTGCTATTACTGGTTTGAGGGAAAAACACTGAATAGGTTTTTAAAAGATGGAAGTGAGAGATACATTTTATCTTAAGAACCCTTTGTCCCCACAGAATCTTTAAAATAGACAATTATACAAAACTTATCTGTTATTCTCATGACATTTAAATAAATTAACACAATGCAGAAAATACAGCCTTAACTGTCGTCTTCCTCATCTTCTTTAATTACTGGAGTACCTAAAATGAAAAAGGAAATTATTTCTGGTCATTTCTGACAGAATGTTAAAATTCCTCTTGTTGCTGCTCTTGTTTGGGATGTAGGAAGCCTGGGTCCATAGATGACTAGGGCCTTTGTTTGAATGTGATTCTCAATACGAGTATAGTGATGAGGATGATAGGGAAAACATGCCCCACACTATGATGATGGTGGTCATTGTCACCACCATCATCATTATCTGTTGGGTATTGTCTATTTTATTCTAAGTAGTTTCCTTTCTCCCATTCAATCAAGTAGGCTGTTCAGCTGTGCACATGACTGCATTAGGGGCAGAATGGAAAGCTGAAAGAGACCACAAGACTTGCTTGCTTTTGTCTCTGAAAAGTTTTAAAATATTAAGAAGATACTGTTGGGGGCTGAGAGATGGCTCAGCGGTTAAGAACACTGACCAGTTCTTGCAGAAGAGCCGGGTTCGAATCCTAGCACCCACATGGCAGCTAACAACTGTCCATAACTCCAGCTCCAGGAGATCCGACAGCCTCTTCTGTCCTCTGAGGGCGTTGCATGACACTGATACACTTACTTACATGCAGGCATAACACTCATACACATAAAATAAAAATAATAAATAAAATATTAAAAACAAGATGCTGTTCGTAGAAAGACAGAATAATGTGAAGAAGGAGGCCCTGATTTCTGACAGCACCACTGGGAGGAGATGAGTGCCTGTATTTTACCTAAGGAGATAATCCTGTGGTCACCAAGAGCTCATTCTCAACAACAACAACAACAGCAAAGCACTTCCACAACACAAGTGTAGGCAGGGAGCAGGCAGGATGAATGCTAAAGGGGTCCTGAGAATGGGGACAATAGATATATTAGTGGTTAACCCTTGGGGACCATTGACCTATTCCTCATAAGTTGACTCCAGAATGATGGCATCATCCCAGGGAGATCTTAAGGCTGTCAGACTAGAGATATGAGTGGTAGCACATGCCTTTGATCCCAGTATTTAGGAGGCAGAGGCAGGTAAATTTCTGTTCTTTCAAGGCTTAAGCCTGGTTAGACTAATTTCTCTCTCATTCTCTCGCTCTTCTTTTTTGAGGCAGTGTCCTATTTTTGTGGTCCTGACTGGCTGGGAACTTGATAAGTACACCAGGTTGGGCTTGAACTCAAGAGATCTGCCTGCCTCTGCTGCCTAAGTGCTGGGATTAACAGATGGGTGTCACCATGCCTGGTTTCTCAGACTAAATTTCTATTCATTTATTTATTTATTTATTTATTTATTTATTTATTTATTTATTCATTTTTGTCTTTTTGAGAGAGGGTCTCCTTGTAGCCCCAGCTGGCCTGGAACTTACTTTATAGACCAGACTGGCTTTGAACTCACAGAGATCCGCCTGCCTCAGCCTCCCAAGTGCACCTCCCAAGTGCGCCACCACGACCAGCTCTATTTTTTCAAATTTATTTTATTTATGTTTTTTTGTCTTTTTGAGACAGGGTCTCCTGGTGGTCCCACATGGCCTGAAACTCACTATATAGACCAGACTGGCCTTGAACTCACAGAGATCCACTTGCTTCTGCTTCCGTACTGCTGGTATTAAAAGCGTGGGCCACCACTCCTGGCTCACACAAAATTTCTTGACAGTCCAGCTGAACTAAACTGGAAAGGTAGGGTTCAAGATCAAAACAAGCTGGGTGTGGTCATAATCCTAGGCCCAACTTTCAATTTTCAGACTGGAAAACATTTCCAAGTCAGCCCAGAGCCACTCACCATCCAGCTTTTTCAGCCTGGGCACTCTCTTGGTTGCTTCGTCAATCCAGTTGCCTTCCGCAGCATGCTTCTCTTCCAAGGGATTGCCTACAAACACCAGGTCTTCCAGGTACGGCAGTTCTGCCAGCTTTATGAATTCGGCTGCAAGTACAAAGCAAACTGTCCATGTTTCAATAAAAGTGGTAAGCCATAATCTTACAATTTTAGAGTTACAGCTCCAAATCATTAGCTTGAATTTGTGAATATTTAAGACAGTTGTTGATGATCTTGAAGAAGGATAAGGCAAATTTTACCACATGAAGTCATTCTCTGAGAAAACTATAAGCTGGGAGGGAAAATGAAGATCCAACTCTTCTACCTTTAAGGCTAGTCCAATGATAGGATGAAAAGACAGGTCAGTGTTGAAAAGGACAAGTCAGTCTCTAGTGATAGGTCCCCTCTAAGGACATATTGTTGCATTAGTGGAGACTAAGCTAAACTGCCCTGGTCTCTACCCATCCCCTCACCTCTGAATTTTCCAAGCAACTCATTCAAATCCTTATTACAGAAGTTACCATGATCTTAGAAATAATAGTTTATTAAAAACATTTTCTAGGTGTGGTGGTGCATGCCTTTAATCCCAGCACTTGGGAGGCAGAGGCAGGTGGATCTCTGTGAGTTTGAGGCCAGCCTGGTCTATACTGAGTTTAAAAAAAAGACCAAAAAATAAAAAATTCCCATGGGGCTGGAGTGATGGCTCAGCAGTTAAGAGTATTTGCTGCTCTTGCAGAGGACCTGGGTTCAATTCTTAGCACCAATATGGCAGCTCACAACCACCTGTAACTCCAATCAGGGAATCAGATACAGTATTCTGGCCTCAGTGGGCACCAGGAATGCATGTGGTTCACATACAAACAGGTAAAATACTTGCATACATTAAAAAAAAAAAAAACCAAAAAAAAAACAACTAAACTTAAAACAAAACAAAACAAAACAAAAAACTCCCCATGAAGCAGCGAAGGACTTGAGGGCTGGGACAATGACCTACTCAATGTTTGTCAAGTCTGGCACAGTTTGTGTCAGATTTTAGTACATGCTGCGGGAATAATGTATAATAAAAAGGAAAAGCAATGTAGGCATCAAATTCGTCCTCTATTCAAAGGTTATTAAATTTAAATGAATTTCTTTAGCTTTTCAATAATTTTTTTCCATGATTAACAGGACCAGAACTTATACAACTATATTCACTCCAAGCAAGTGTGTGTGTGGGGGGGGCGGTGTATACACCTGCATGTATACATGGAGACCACAGGTTGACATCAGATGTCCTCCTACCTTATTTTTTGAGACAGGGGCTCTTTAATATTTTATTTATTATTCTTCTTTTATGTGTGGGAATGTATTGCCTGCATGTATGTGAGTGCACCCGTGTTCTGCAATGCCCTCAGAGGTCAGAAGAAAGTGTCAGATCCTCTGGAACTGGAGTGATGGATAGTTGTTAGTGCTGAGTGCTGGGAATTGAACCTGGGTCCTCTGTAAGAGTAACCAGTGCTCTTAACCATTGAGCCATCTCTCCAGCACCAAGACAGGGTCTCTTAGTGAAGCTGGAGCTCACTGACTGGCCAGACTGGTTGCTCAGCAAGTCACAGGACTCCCTCCTGTCTCCAGCTCCTCAGCACTGGGTTACAGATATACAGTGCTTATGCCTAGCTTTAAAAAAAATTTTTTTTAAATTTTATTTTTATTATTTTTATTTTATGTGTATACGTGTATTGCCTGCATGTAGGTAAGTGCACCCATGTCGTGCAAAGCCCATGGAGGTCAGAAGAGGCTGTTGGATCCCCTGGGACTGGAGTTATGGACAGTTGTTAGCTGCCATGTGGGTGCTGGGATTCAAACCTGGGTCTTCTGCAAGAACAACCAGTGCTCTTAACTGCTGAGCCATCTCTCCAGCCCCTTATGCCCAGTTTTTATGTGGGTGCTGGAGACCCCAAACCAGGTCCTTATGCTTATAGAGCAAGCACTTTACCCACTGAGTCATCTCCCAGCCCTAAGTAAATATTCAATATACTTCATGTATGTAAAATTGGAAATTCCTTATTGTATGAAATCCACAAAAAATTCAACAATTTTTTTAAAGCAAAAAATAAAAAATTAAAAAATAAAAAAATCAAACAACCTGGAAATTCCTCCAGCTATTCCTCTCTGCTTAGAAATAAAGATTCTTATTTTGTGTATTTCCCCTTAATTGGGTATTTTCTTTTCTCTGTTTTGGTTTGTTTTGAGATACAGACTCATTATGTAGCCCAGGCTGGCCTCAACCTCACACTTATCCTGCCTCAGCTCCCAGTATTGGAATTGATTACCAGCCCAGCTCTTGTTGGCTGTTTTCTATACACAGGAGTAGGAGGCTTGCAAGCACTGCCCTCAGCTTACCCCAATCTTTTACCAGGTTGTTAGACATGTAGAGAATCTTCAGTTTCTTCATTACATGGATCCCTTTCAGCTTCTCGATGAAATTGTAGGATATCCACAGTTCTTCTAATGTGTCTCCTACTGCTTCCTGAAAAAGAAAGCAATCCGATTGATTTATACGCTTAGTTTTTTTAAAGCTTTTGTATCTGTCTCCTTCCCTAAAGACAAAAAGACTGGCTTTTTTGAGGGGAGGGGGGAATCTTTTTGAGAAACAGTTTCCCAAGATGGCCTGGAACTCATTATGTAGACCAAGCTGGTCTTGAACTCACAGAGATCTGCCTGCCTCTGCCTCCTGAGTGCTGGGATTAAAGGGGTATGGCACCACGCCCAGCTATAAAGACTGGCTTTTAAAGAGAACTGAGACCCGCCTGTCCACTTGGTGAAGAGTTGAGCACTGTGCAGTTCGTTTCTTGTTAGGAATAACACAGAACATTCCTTTCCCCTTACTGAATGTTCTGTTCTCTGACTGCTTCATGGAATGCTTTTCCCAAGGAACATTCTTCAAGAACAGCTCCTAAAATCACTAAGAGGAAAAAATATCTTATCACTTCATTGAATGATAGTTTCAAATTACTTTCTTTTTTAAAAGATATTTTATGGGGCTAGAGAGATGGCTCTGCAGTTAAGAGCACTGGCTGTTCTTGCAGAAGACCCAGGCTTGAATCCTAGCACCCATATGGCAGTTAACAACTGTCTATAACTCCAGTTCCAGAAGATTTGATGCCATTTTCTGACTTTCTTGGGCACTGCAGAACACAGGTGCACTTACCTACATGCAAGTAATACACTCATACACAGAACATAAAAATAATATTTTTAAAAATAAAATAAAATATTATAATAAATAAAGTGTATTGCCTGAATGTAGGTAGGTGCACCTGTGTCCTGCAGTGTCTATGGAAGTCAGAAGTGGGCATCAGATCCCTTGGAACTGGAGCTACAGATTGTTGTTAGCCGCCATGTGGGTGCTAGGAATCAAACCTGGCTCCTCTAGAAGAGCAGCCGGTGCTCTTAAACACTGAGTCATTTCTCCAGCCTCCTCAAATTACTTTCTTATAGACAATGGTATTTGGTCCTGAGAAAATTTAAAGAAGTTAATGTATATTATATAGGAATTTTTCTGAGAGCCCATTGATAATAGTGCAAGAGTTAGCACTAAAATTCATGGTTTTCCCAACATCTGTTAGAAAAAAAAATTTAAGCATAAAAAGGTTTTAATCCCAGCCCTTGGGAGACAGAGACAGGTGGATCTCTGTGAGTTCGATGCCAGCCTGGTCGACATAGCAAGTTCCAGAGCAGCTGGGGCAACTAAGTAGACCCTGTCTCAAAAAGATTTAAAAAAAAAAAATTGAAAGAATTTTTTCCCCAAGCCTCAGACAAGGAAGTTTATTAGTAAGGAGACATATGAAAAGGTGGCTGTGCTGCTTCTCTGTCCTCTTGTTCTAGTCCTGCCCTTGCCCAGCCAGCCAGCCAGTCTTTGCAGATGTCCATGCACATCTGGGCTTGGCACCCAGACTTGATGCTCTGAGTGCTCATGCTGTCTCTAGTCTATTCCACAAGTGTCTCAATGTCAGGGTGGGAAGGAGCCTCAGAAACTCATAGAGTCCGGCTTTTTCCAAAAGCACCCTTCCTGGATAAGACCATATTCAGTGTTTCAAAGTTAGGGGTGGAAGCTGCCTACTACATAGCACTACTTTCCATGAGGGTGGTCAAATATCCCTGAATTTGAAAGAATTTTATATTGCAAGTGGCTCTTAAGATATCAGAGTCCACCATTACCATTTTGGCTTATTTGTCCTGTCTGTCTATCTATCTATCATCTGTCTATCTGTCTGCCTCAGTAGCCATCCTTCAAATTCATATTAGTACTCTGAGTGTGTGTGTATGTATGCATGCAAGTGCATATGTACACTCATGCATAATCAGAAGACAATCTCAGGTGTTGTTCCTTAGGAGCGACCCACCTTGTTTTTTCATTCTGTTCTTTTTCCCTTCTCCTTCTCTTCCCTTCCCTCCCCTCCCTTCCCTTCCTCCCCCCTCCCCTCCCCCTTTTCTCCTTTCTTCCTTCGTTTCTCCTCTCTGTCTCTCTCTGTCTCTCTGTCTCTCTCTCTGTCTCTGTCTCTCTCTCTCTGTCTCTCTCTGTCTCTCTGTCTCTCTCTCTGTCTCTGTCTCTCTCTCTGTCTCTCTAGGATCTGGATATGTATCCCTGGCTGGCTTGGAACTTTATAGACTAGGTGGCCTCAAACTGCCTCTGCCCATGGAGTACTGGGACCACCTTATTTTCTCAGTGTCTCTCATTGGTTTGGGGATTACTAATGCAAGCCCCAGGGATCCTCCCATCTCTATCCTTCCCAGTCTGGGATTATAAACACACACTACCACACCAAGCTTTTGATGTGGGTTTTGGGGATCAAACAAAATTTCTTGTGTGACACACACTTTACCAACTGAGCCATCTCTTCAGCCCTCATCATTTTGATATATAAAATTCAGTTTTAAAGCTTGGTCTTTTCTATTATAGCATAAAAATTATATTATATTGCTTCTTAAATTTTAGATATAATCAATAGTTGCACAAAGATTTTCAGTAGACAAATATAATAACTTTCTTTTTTCATTTTATTTATTTATTTATTTGGTCTTTTTGAGTCAGGGTCTTGCTGCATCACTGTAGCCCCAACTGGCCTGGAATTTGCTATGTAGACCAGGCTGGCCTTAACTCACAGAGATCCGCCTGCCTCTGCCTCCCAAGTGCTGGGACTAAAGGCATATGCCACCACGTCAGGCCCTAATTACTTTTTTAAAAAAGTACTGGACAGTATTGACTAGATACGCAACCCCTTCTATTTGTGTGTCACTCCCCTCCCCCAACTCACAACAATTTATCTCCATTCACATGGTGGTCTATGGTGGGCCCAGGTTTAAATTTGGGCAATTGTCGCTTAAAGGAAAGGGAAAGAGAGCAATATACTTAATGTATTTTCCATAATGGCAGAACAAAGGAAATTTGTGATTTAACCATGTTCTCTAGACTAATTTTCTGTCATCTCCTAAAGGATCAAATTATGATATCTTTTACAGCAAACAGTACTAGTCTTCAGATAATTTAAATTTCATTACACACATTCACACCGCCTTGGATCCCCACCCCTCTCATGTCATCTCAACTCCCACAGTTCATCTAGTTTCAGTTTCCAAGTACAAAAAACAATACTTTTGTTGTTGTTGCTGTTGTTGATTTCGTTTGAGACAGAGGAGTCTCACTATATAGCTCTAGCCGGCCTGGAACTTGTTATGTAGAATAGGCTGGCCTCAAACTCAAAGATCCGCCTTCCTCTGCCTCCCAAGTGCTGGGATTAAAGAGGTATGCCAACATGCCAGAAACAATACTTTCAAAGGAAATTTTTTAATCACACCGCCTTGGATCCCCACCCCTCTCATGTCTCCAAATTTACAAAGTGGGAGCAGAAAAAAATACTTGTCCAATACTGATCAGAAGATTTAGGCCTCAGCTAGCTTGTAGCTAAGTGGTGGAGCTTGGGCATATCATGCATCATGTCCTGGGTTCAATTCCTAGCATCACCTTATGAGTACTGAAATCATGAGTGCCATGTTAGAGGCTATGGGCGTAGGAAGGGTTTAATCAGGTTCTGGAAGCCTCTCAATTTTGGACCATATAATAACGGGTCATTCTTATTGTTTCATTTGTATAAAGTAAGGAATTCAGATACTACAGCATTTCTTATAACTCTGAGGAGGTGTGATTTCTAAATACTTAAGTTCTTGTGGCTGATTGTATAAAATAAATAGCCTTTTTTTCTTAGAAGTATTGGTGCTTGAACCTAGGGTCTGACACAAACTAGGCAAGTGCTCTACCCCTGAACTACAGCCCCAGCTAAAATAAATAGTTTTATCTCATATACCATTAGTTGTTAAAGAAAACTATCTCATTTACCATAGCAATAAAAACTATAAATTACTTAGGAATACATTTTTGCTCAAGGAATATTGACAGCCTTATAAGAATTAAAGCTTTTAATTCTATTGAAGAACAACAAAACTGAATAAATCTTCTTGTACAGAAATATTCATTGCTATAAAGATGTAAATTCTTGCAAATAAATCTATAAATTTAATGCATTTCTATAAGACTTCCAAAAGGAGCTTATGTTTATGAATGTGAAAAGTGATTCTTAAATTTCTACAGAGTAAATGCCCAAGAAAAGCCACAATATTTTGAAAAGGAGAGGACCTGTCCTAATAGAAATAAAGAATATTATAAAGTTAAAGAAAATGAAAGCAGCAGACACAGAGCTGGGATTTATAAAGGACCAAAAAAGTAAGAGGAAACTAGACAAGCAGGGACTCATCTGTGCATATACAAGAGTTCAGCAAGTGGCATTTTCAAACAGTAGGAAGAGACTTTTTAATTTTTGGTCTTATTTTTTTTGAGATGGGGTCTCCCTGTAGCCCCAGCTGGACTGGAACTCACTATGTAGACCAGGCTGGCCTCAAAGTCATAGAGATCCACCTGCCTCTGCCTCTCAAGGCATGTGCCACCATGTCTGGCTAGGAAGAGACTTTTCAATAAATGGCTAGCCATTTAGAGAAAGAGAAAGAATACCTGATCCTTAGACACATGCAAAAATAAACTCCAGATGGATTAGACATGTAAATTGTGTGTGTGTTTGTGTGTGTGTGTGTGTGTGTGTGTGTGTGTTTGGTGTATATGCACCTGTGCGTGTGGAGGCCAGAGGTCAATGTTGGATGTCTTTCTTTGCTCTTCATTTTTGTTGTTTTGTTTTGTTGAGACAGGGTTTTATTATATACTCCAGGCTGGCCTTGAACTTGTAGATATTTGCTTTTGTCTGCTTCTGAGTGCTGGGATTAATAGTGTGTACCACTACACTCATTTTCCACCTAATTTTTTTTGTTTTTATTTATTTAT